ACCTAGATGAAGAGGACAGGGATTCTTGTCCATTTTCAATTTCCCAAAGTAGCTAGCTGCAGCTGTCTCTCACCTCTAGACTTTGTCAGTGACTTTTTGAAATATTATTCACTTATCTCACACACTTAACTCTTCTACTTTTACCTTGTCTTGAACTTACAGTCAGGTTCTTTAGGGTATGTCTTATTTTAAAATTCTTTATTGTCATTCCTGACATCATTCCTAGCCCAGACTACAATATCATCAGTGTCTAACATATTTTCCCACCAGTACTTTTTTTGGGTACAAGTGGGTGGCAAAATGTTTGGTTTTGCTTCCTGGTCTGTGTTGACAGGAATCCTAGAAATTGGCTAAAACCAGGTCATTGGCCTGGTTTATTATACCCTGTGCTGTTTCACAGGACAGGGGAATGGTGGAAAGGGGTTCTATCTGCCCACCCCCGGTAGAGTACGAGAGAAGTAGAAAAAGAAGTTTGCTGAGACAAGAAATTAAATTTCCAAATGTACTGGGAAGTAGCTGAGAAGCTTCAACCATAGAAATTGGTTATTTATCCAAGTCCCAAATCTACTACAAGAAAACTCAGAAAGTTTTGTGTGTGTGTGTGTGTGAACAACAAATGCCATCCTCATTCTGATTGCATGTTGTGATGAGGCCACCTTAGCAGGCATTACCATCACAGAGGCATGGCCGGAGAGGTGCCCTTCTCATCCTACCCAGTCCCATTTTATTAGTCAGGACTATACAAACAATAGACACCCACTTACTGACTCATGTAAACTAAAAAGCCCAGGGTAGAAAGCCCTCTTCAGATCTGGAGCTCTAACAATTTTAGAACTCTGTCTCTTCCCATCTCTTTGTTTTCCTTTTCCCTGAAACGGTTTCTTCCTCAGGCTCATTTTCTCCTCATGGTGAGCCAGGTTTACATTCTAGCAGTCCAACTACCCTCTGTAAAGAGTGTGTTGCTTTCCAGGTTGTTCCAGGAAAGATCTCTATTGGCCCAGCTCAGGTCACATGTCATCACTGAACCAATCACTGTGGGCAGGCTCTGTGCTTTGATTGGCCAGGCCTAAGTCAGGTGCCTGCTGCTGGGACCCCAGGAGTGCTGCCAATTCAATCTGAACACAAGGATGGAGACTGTGCAAGAGTGTTTACCAAAGATATAATTATTAGAAAGGGAAATGGATGCTACAGGGCCAGAACTAGAGGAGGCCAGTGAGGCAACAGAAAAACAAAAATTTAAGATGACATCCATTTTCAGGTTCATGCAGGGTGAGTTTTGAAAGTGAGCACCTTCTCAAATTTTGTACCCTAGCCTCCTCACTCATCTCACCCTAGTCCTGGCCTTGGATGCTAGGTAAGCAAAAGACAAAATACTCATTACAACCATACTCAAAAGTATCTCCCAGAGTGCCTGAAATCCCCACCATTAGAGAGTCATTCCTTTGGGTTAAGCAGAGACATCTCTAGGAATCTTTCATTTTTTTTTTTTTTTTAGAAAAGAACAGCTAGCAGGTAAATCTTTAAGTCAGTAAGAGTTTGCCATACACATGCTAGTTACAGACTATCAAGTCAGTCGTCTCTAGGTTCAGTACCTGTTGAAAGCTCCACCTCACCCCATAATAAGGTATGGTTCACTATAAGGAGAGGCATTGCAGAAAACAGAGAAATGACCAAGACCTTAGACAGTACAGAGGGGAGTCCCGGAAAAGAAGAAAAATGACATGAAAAAGGAGATACAAAATGTTAAAGGCAACTTTTATTTAATTATCTAATAATATTTAATGAACACTGGCTCTAGGCCTACTTGATCAATTTGCCTAAATTCTACCATTTGGGAACTCTGAGGTAGCAGGCTGGTGAAAGGGGAAGTAGCAGCAAAGACTCAAGAGCTCAGTAATAGTGGAAATCCCTAAACAGGAACTCTGGTGGTACACAACATCTGGAAAGGCTTTTCTGGAGTTCTGATGATAAGGCTACAGGAAGAAGGATGAATCCTGCCAACAGAAAATTTTGGGGTATTCAGGTTGCTGGCATCTTTTGGAAGTTTAATTTTCCCCTACAGCAAGGAGAGTTATGAATTTTGTGTCCCTCCTAGGCCCAAGGGGAAAAATCAATCTTTAAACCACAAGATAAATAAGCCAAGTGGCTCTTAAGTTTAGTACTAATAAAGGCAATTGTTTCCATCCTTCATATCCCAGTAATTTAATCTTCCTTTTCTAGGACTCTGGTTGCCTTTGGCAAAGAAAAGAGCATACATAACTGAAATATATCTGCCTCTCATAAAATTTGGATTTCAAAAATTTTCATCTACCTAATAATTGTAAGTCTATAAAGTAATGATTCTGTTGTTAGTTGAAGGATGCCTTTGGGAATATGGCTGTCCATTATGTCAACCCATAATGGATCTAAACACCACCCAGAAACCAGAGTGAGCTGATCCACAAGCCCAGCTGTCTGCTTCTAGATGGCACGCATGGACGTAGCTACTCCCTTAACCAGATGCCAGCAAACCCTGGAATTTTACAACTCGCTCCCCTGTTTATTGAGCAGCCTTTTGCATATCAAATAGCTTCCGCAGGATGTGCCTACAGGAAGAAAATGTGATGGCCAGAATGTCTGGTGCCCTTAGTAACTGTGTTTTCACAGTAACTATTTGCTTTATATTCCCCTGACAACTAATAAATCAGCATTCTTAGCTGTATTAGGTTCGGTGTGCTAAGAATCAAGTTTCTGTGCCTCTAAGGCTTAAAGCCACAGGAAAGTCACCAAAACTATGTTGACCAAACCATTAGGGCCTCTTATGCATACACCAGTCACAGGACTTCTTCCCTAGGTACACACCTTTCTCTTACCTATCAGCCTTCAAACTGGGAAAATAAATGGAGCTGAAAAATTCCTGTCGCCTAGTGACATCATAGCTGTTGTAACATCATAGCTAACATCACGTACAAGTTCGTGGTGATGCTGGTATAATGAAACCTATTGCACTGCCAATCATGTAAAAGTATAGCATGTACAGTTATGTATAGTACATACTACTTGAAAATGATAATGACTATGTTACTGTTGATGTACTTGTATGTGTAGTATATTATAGAGTATATTATAAATATACTCTCTCTATAT